GCTGAGCTATACCGCCGGCCCTCAGCCTGTTCTTTTTGGCTGGCAACCAGGTCCCAGAGCCTTAGTCTACAGCACCAGGACTATAGTAACTCCTATAACATTGGAATTGGGTTTGTCTGGACTCTTGCTGAGCCACAGTGGGAACTACTGATTACTTGGGAGCCACCTCCAGTTGGGAAGGTAGTCTGCTGAGGTGACTGTTTTAGGCTGTAAATTGTTTGTTGGCAGTACAGGGGACTGAACTCAAGGAGCACTGAGCTACATCCCTGGCACTGCCCATCCCCACCTCTCCAGGCCTGCTTTGGGGTATGGCCTCACTAAATTCCTTAAGACTGGCCTGGAATTTATCCTTCTCTCTTAGCCTGAGTAGCTGAGGTCACAGCAATATACCATTGTGCCTAGATTATTTTGGGGTCATAGTTCTCCTTCAAAAATGAAGGTGCTGGGCTGGTAAGATGGCTCAGTGGTCTAAAGCACCTACTTAAAACAAGTTTAGCAAACACAGGGACCATGGTTCAATCCCCCAGCACCACATGCCAGCCAGCCCTGCCCCCTGGTGGGCTGAGCTGGCCACACACACACACACACACACACACACAAATAAAAGTTTAAAAAAAAAAATGAAGGTGCTGGTCCCCCTGCAAAAATGCCACACAAATATTTTGTTCAGAGTTGAACTGAATGCTGGGGTTCCACTTAGACCCAGACCCTCAGAGGAGCTCATTATATCCAGAGTTACCCTTTTCTAGCTCAGTGGGCCTCAGACTGGGAAGTATTACCCAAACCTCCAGATCGTAGGCCCTGCCCCCAGAACTAACTTTGGGGACTAGGATAAACCTATGTATGCAGTCTCTAGCCAGCATAGCTGCTGGTACTGCTGGGCTGCATACTTGAGCTCTTCTAGATCCTAGCCTCAGTCCTGCCTAGCTTCCTCTTCTCATTGCTCTGAGTATCTGTACCTCTTGGGTCTGCTGAGTCTCAGCTTCCTACAGACATTCCATATCCCCAAAGGGCCACCCTCAGCATTTTCATCAGCTGGGAGGCAGGAGGGGGAAGGAATGCCCCAGGAAGGGAAGGGCAGGGCCAGCAGGGAAGCAGGCCCCATGTGCTCCCCTGGCAGAGGTATCTCAGGCTGCATTCACACCCTGCCTGCCAGACATCATGCCACAGGAGGCTAAAGCCAGATGGGCATATAGCCTTATACTGTTTTGTCCTGCTGAACTTTTTTGCACTCAAAACACCCCAACAGAGCCAAGGAGATAGCTCAGTGGTACAACACCTGCCTGGCAAGTGCAAGATCCTGAATTTAAGTCCTGGTAACAGAACAAAACACCCCAACAGCAGAGGCAGGGAAGCTCCCACAAGAGAATGCCCCAAGCCCTTTGAAATCTGGTTCAGGGAAAGAAATCACACTGGGGACTCTGTGCAAGGCCCACTTTACAGGACCCTAAGGGCCACAGTAAGTTCTTTCAGTGTTTTGGGCAACAAAATAAACAACTTTATCATGCTTGGGAATGTTCAAGGTACTGGCCTGGGCTCTTGTCTGCAGCCAGCTGGGTCCCAGTGAGAACAGGGCACTTTGATTCTGTTGGAGGACTGGTGAATCCTAGTTCCCAGATCCTATTTCCATGTGGACACCTTACGGCACCTAGAGTCAGTACTGACATCACACAGTACTACTGCCACTGCCTGGTTGTCAGTATTCTCTGACTGGTTTGTGGATGGAGCAAGAGTACCCAGGTGTCAAGAGTCCATGACAGTTGTAAAGACCAGGTCCTAAGTGGTACAAGATAGAAAACAGTCAAGATTTTAAATGCATGTATCAACTTCCCCAAATGAGTCTATTTTATATTAATGAAATATATTAATTTAAAAAAAAAATGTTGGGTGCAGTAGCACACACCTTTAACCCCAGTACCTAAGAAGCTGAAGTAGGAAGATTGCTATGAGTTTGAGATCAGCTTGGGTTACATAGTGAGTTCGAGGCCAGGCTGCACTACATAGCAAGACCCTATTTCAGGAAAAACCAAAAAGGCCCTGAGTAAGGAATACCACGTGCTGCACTGTCTTGCCACACCAGGCATAGGAAAGTCAGGGTCAGGTATACTGCAGAGGGTCAGAACAGAAGCCTGCCACTATCCACATGGCAGAAAGGCTTACAGGAGCAGAAGAGCCAAACAGTCCCTTAATCCAAGTCACTGAGGTGGTCCATCACATGCCTCAGATGGAAGGTCACACATTCTCTGGAACAGATGTAGTCAATGGCACTGTCATTGACAGTGGCCATGCACTGGCTTGACAGTGTCCTCACTTAAACTTCCCAGATGGCAAGTGTCATCTAAATTTGCACTTCTAGGGGCCAGGGAGATGGCTCAGTGGAGTAAGCGCTTCCCTGGCAAGCGAAAGGGCCTGAGTTCAATCCCCAGTTCCACAATAAATAAATAAATAAATAAATAAATAAATAAATAAATAAATAAATAAAATTTGCACTTCTCTAGTCAGCCTGATTGAGGCCGAGTGCTGCCAGGTATAACTCAAATCATCTATGCTCATCCCAGTCACCCAGGTAGCTGAGCCACCAAGTGTCACAAGGCATCAAAAATCACTTCAGGCTAACAGTGCTGACTTATTTATTTAGTCTTTTTGAGATAGGATCTCACTATGCAGCTCAGCCTGGTCTTGAGCTCATTTTGTAGCCCAGACTGGTCTTTAACTCACAATGATCCTCCTATCATCCTCCCAGGATTATAGGCATGGGCCACCATGCCCAGCTACAGCCCTGATTTCAAAAATAACAAAAATCTTAGTTAACTTCATTCTGCAAAATGCAAATTTGGGGGAAGGGGATTAGAAGAGCACATAAAACTCTGGCACTTCACAGTGCTCCTGACAGATTCAGGATTTGCTGAGATCTTTGGGAGCACCTTTGTGGTGGCAGGATCCTGGGGAGGTCTGTGGTGCTGAAAGTCTTCACACCTATGTTTTCTTGAGAGCTTGTTTGGAGGTTCTAGCAGGGGAGCGCAGCTACTCGTATACCCTTGACCGAGGACCGGTCCTCCTCTATCGGGGGTGGTCGTCCTCTTCAACCGAGTGCACAGCTTCGGGAGGGACGCACATGGATCGTTGAGGGAGGAAGGGGACACTCGCCTAGCCAGCCAGATCAACCCTGGCGATCAATGGGGTGACAGATGTCGCAGCCAGATCGCCCTCACATCCACACCCATGTTTTCTTTCACCTGATGCTGAGGGCTAGGTGCTCTCTCCCTTGGCAGTGGTGGTCGAAGCCAGGGAAGTCCTGCCCTGTGCAAGTGCTATTGCCAGTTCTGCGGTCTAACCAGTTCCAGAGAGGCTCCATCCCTGGCCTCCCTGGCTGTCCCATAGCCCAGAGACCTGTTAGGTGAGTCCCAGACCTTGTCCAACTTGTGCTAGGGTTCTCCTGCCACTAATAGGGTCCTGTAGGTGGTCTAGGGACCAACTGTACCCTGCCACATGCCTGTTCTTCCACTGGCCTGCTGACCTGCCCTGCCTGGCCCTGCTTGGGCTGACCCTGAGGGAGCCTCTTAATGATGAACTGACCTACGTCAGCAGTTTTAGTAATTAACTAGTATTCAGAGTCAGGATTTCAGGACTGGGTTCCCCGAGCCTGGACTTTTCTTCCACAGAATAAAGCTAGGCTCAGAAACAAGACACTAGTCCCAATCTATGGGGAATAACCCAGTGTGAGATATACCCACTCAGTGGTCCATAGAAAAGAGCAATCTTTACGAGAAATAATCCAGAGAAAAGATCTGAAGACTTTCCACATTAAGAGCTGGTGTGTCAGTCACTGTCCGGAGAAGGATCTGCCATCTGCCCTTGGTTCAGGTGAGGCAAGCTGTGGCCAGTTTCCAGGAGTACCTGGCTCTTGTGTTTCTCCATCACAGAGGCATCTCAGGCTTCCGCTAGGAAGTGTGGCCCAGTGGCTGTGGTGGTGACACCCCCTGCTGCTGTCGCAGCTTCTTCAGGGCCCGGTAGGCCTGCACAACCCGTTCCCTCTCCTCCTCCACGATCCGCTGCCTGGCTAGTGAGGCACCCTGAGGTTTCTGGGACATCCTGCCAGGGTTCAAAAGCATCTTCAGCATCAGCGACTTTTTTCCAGGCTGAGGAAGAAAGAAGGAAGGGTAAGAAGCAGGGTGGACCAGGGGTGATGGCAAGGGCTGCAACTGTGTAATAGCTCTTGCCCCAGTGTGGTGGTACATGCCTGTAATCCCAGCACTCCAGCACTCAGGAGGCTCAGGCAGGAAGCTCAAGGCCAACTTGGCCTACAAATTGAGCTCAAGGCCAGTCTGAACTACTAGTGAGATCCTGTCTCAAAAAGACAACAAACAAACAAACAAAGAAAAGAAAAGGGCAGGCCAAATAGCTTAGCAGATTAAAGCACCTGCTTAGGCAGATGCAGCAGCTGCCTGGGCTTGATCCCCCATATGCTGTGCCAGCCCCACCCCTGGGGGCACACTGAGATTGCTATGGAGACTGGGCGTGGTGGTGCATGCCTGTAATCCCAGCTCTTGGGAGGCTGAACACAGGTGGATCACTAGAGTCTGAGCTACATAGTGAGACCCTGTAGATGCTCTCCTGAAATACAAAAACAAACAAAAAACCTAGCTCTCAGTCCAGCAGTGAGGTGCTAGGGTGTACCCTACAAATATTAGTCTTGGCTTTTGTTCCCTGGCAGCTCTGGAGAAAAGATTGGTAACTCTACCACCTTGCCACCTCGTGTGCACCTAGCCCTGCATACCTGGCTTCTACTTGTGCTTCTCCTGGGTTGGGCAGTCAGCTCTGGAGGCTGTAAGACAACTTCTCCAAACTTCACAGTGTCTGCAAAAAGAGAGGGGACAAAGGCCTGCTGCCTACATATCACCCGGGTCCTGGTGCCCACAGTCCCTGCTACCATCGAATCCCCCTGCTCCCTGTGGCCAAGGCCAGGACACAGAACATGGATCCATCTGCTGGCCTTCCAGCAGTGGATTCAGGGAAATAAAGGGGCTGGTGAGAAAAGGAGGACCAGGTCTGAATGGAGAGAGTCACTTTAGGAAGGGCTACCTTGTAGTAGCTCCTGCTCCAGCCTATCCACCGCCCTCTCCTCCTTCTTCTGCTGGGCTTTATCCAGTCGCCGTTTCTGGAACCTGGGAAGAAAGCATGATGCCTTCTAAATTCCTAACTGCTCACACCAACCAGGAGAAGGCAAGGGCAACCCCACCCTCTAGAGGTGCCCCAGGGAAGAGGTAAGACTTGAGCCCTGGCAGTCAATGTCAGTCCCCACACCCAAGGCTACAGTGCTCCATCAGAGTAGCCACCAAACCCTTTGAGACTTCCCAGTTAGTGGTAGTCAGCTGCAGGGAACATCTGATAACACCTGTGGACATTCTGCACTGTAAACACAAGGAGACAGACACTGCTAAATACTCTACCGTCATGCCCCAAGGGCTAGCTGTGCTGCTTTAACTAAATGGCCTACCAAAGTCCCAGATATGTGTTGTGCACCTTATGGGGACAGTGAATTCTAAAGTCTTAAGATAAGTTTGGAGATCATTGTGGCTTTAGGTTATATGTAAAATAAGTTTTCTACAATGTAATTTTCTTCCCTCACATGACTACAAGTACTTCAAGAACTCAGAAACAGGGAGACTCCACAACCTATCTACTCTGTAGATCTTAACAGAATCAAAAAGAAACCCTAACCAGGGATGGTAGCTCATGCCTGTAATCCCAGCACTTGGGAGGCTGAGGCAGAAACATCACCTTAATTTTGCAAGACCAGCCTAGCTACACAGTGAAGCACTGTTTCAAAAAAAAAAAAAGAAAAAAAAAAAAAAAAAAAAACCCAGGGATATAGCTCAGTGGTACAGTGCCTGTGTGACAAGAAAAAGGTCTCTCGAATTTGATTCCTGATACAAAAAAAAAAAAAAAAAAAAAAAAAAAAAAAGCTGTGCATGGTAATGCACACCTGTAATCTCAGCACTCAGGAGGCTGAGGCAGGGGGATCATTTTGATTTCAAGACCAGCCTGGGCTACAAAGTAAGCTCAAGGCCATCCTGAACTACACAGGCGGCACCGACTTTTATTTGAGGCTCTGTCTCAAAATAAAAGTCCTCCTCCCAAAAAAAAAATTAATAATAAATCTGTGACAGTAAAGAGGAGAAGTTGGCATCTTATAGCAATTTTTATCTTTGTTTGTTTTTGAGGCAGGGTATCACTATGTAGTTGAGGTTGGCATTGAACTCACTGTGTAACCCAAGTGCTGAGATTACAGGCATGCCCAACTCCTTTAACTATGATAAAACCTTGAGTTGGTTAATCTGGAAAGTTGTGGTTAAGGCATCTCAAAAAACACCACTTTAGTCAGGCTCAGGTTGCTGTGGTTTGATCCCCAGAACTCAAACCAGCCAAACCTGCCCTGAAGGCATTCGGAGCCAAAAAAAAAAAAAAATCCTTCTGCCATTTTGGGCAGGGAGATGGCTCAGTGGAATAAGTGTTTCCCTGGCAAGCGCAAGGGCCTGAGTTCAATCCCCGGTTCCACCAAAAAAAAAAAAAAAAAAAGCCACGCTTTTACCAGGTGTGGTGCACACTTATAATCCCAGCACTCTAGGAAGGTGAACCAGGAGAATGGTAAATTTGAGCCTACCTTGAAAAACTAGTGAAACTCTGTCTCAAAAGTAAATAGGGGGGCTGATGAGATGGCTCAGTGGTCTAAAGCGCCTACTTAGAACAAGTTTAGCAAAGCATAGGGACCGCGGTTCAATCCCCCAGCACCACATGCCAGCCAGCCCCGCCCCCTGGTGGGCTGAGCTGGCCACACACACACACACACACACACACACACACAAATAAATAAATAAAAAGTAAATAGGGGGGCTGGGGAGAAAGCTCAGTAGAATAAGTGCCTCCCTGGCAAGTGCAGGGTCCTGAGTTCAATCCCCGGTACCTTAAAAAAAAAAAAAAAAAAAAAGTAAATAGGGCCAGCCAGATAGCTCAGCAGACTAAAGCTCCTGCTTAGGCAGAGCCCAGTGGTCAGGTTTTGATCCCCCACGTGCTATGCTGGCCTCGCCCTGGGATGCTCTGAGACCGTGACTGAGACTGGACGCATGCCTGTAATACCAGCGCTTCGGAGGCTGAAAATAGGAGAATCACTACGAGTCCCACCTATATAGTGAGACTAAATACATTTTTTTAAAAAGTAAAATAAAGTAAAAGTAATTAAAGTGCCTGCCTGGTGAGTTCAAGGCCTTGAGTTCAATCCCTGGTACTGGGGGGAAAAATAAGGAAAGAACACTGATTGTTGAAACCATGTTCCAGGAGAGAAATCAAGGTAGGAAGGAGAGGGTAGGCTTGCTCCTGGCTGGACACCATCCTTAGTAACAACTATACAAGGAGCATTAACTTTTTTTCTGTTTGCCATACCAGGGATCCAACTCGGCCTTACGCTTGCCAGGCAGGCGCTTAAGCCACTGAGCTATCTCTCCGGCCCCCCAGGTATAAACAAACTTGTTTTATATTCGTTTATTTATTTGTTCATTTGGTAGAGGGTCTTGCTACACAGCTCAGACTCACAGCTATCCTCCTGTTTCAGCCTTCCCAGCACTGGGATTACAGGTGTGCGCTACCACCCCCAGTTTTGGGTCAGCATGGCATGCACTACCAGGGATCAAACCCAGTCCTTGTGCTTGCCAGGCAGGCACTTAGATGGCTGAGCTATCTCCCCAGCCCATACAAGGAGCATAACGAAATCTCATGACAGTGACATTATCTTGATATACTTCACAAATGAGAACATCAGTTGCAGAACTTGTATAAATGACCAAGCTAAAGGCTCTGGAATGTTTTTTGGATCAGAAAGGGGAACATTGGAAACAACTTCAATCCAGATCCAGGCCAGGGCTGCATATCAGCTTTACCAGGATCCCTGTACAATACTGAGTCCCTCAGGGATATCCCAGCAGCTACTACACAACCCAAGGAGGATGACTGGCCCCTGAAGCCCTCATGCTCTTCCAGAGGAGATAAAAAACAAAGCAAGGGCTGGGGAGATAGCTCAGCAGCCTAAGTGCCTGTCTGGCAAATGCAAGGACTGGAGTTCAATCTCTGGTACCACATGCTGGGCAGGTGCCAAGCCCAGCTGGCCACTGAAACTGGGTTTGGTGGTATATGCATGTAATGCCAGCTCTGTAAAGGCAGAGACAGGAGGATCACTACATAGTGAGACCCTGTACCAAATAAATATATAAATAAAAGATTTTTTTTTTTAAGTTAAAAAAAAAATCCCACTGAGCTCTTCCCTTACCAGGACTTTAACTTCTTTGCTCAGTTTTCCTAAATTGAGAGTACGTATGGACTGATGTGACAACAAAATGTTGCTGTAGAACCCATAACTCTGCCCCCCTGGAACTTCCAGGCAAACCACGACCCCGCTCACCCTCAACTCACGCTTTTTTTCGTTCAGATTTCTCCTTCTTGGGAGCTGCCTGCACCTCTGGCTGCCGGCTGGTCTGGTTCTTGCTGAGGAACAGGACGTGCTGGGTCTCCTGTTCCATGCGCTGGATATAAGCCCCATCGGACTCCCCCTTCCTCTGCTTGAACTTGGGAACCCTGATATCTGGCTCCACTCCCTTTGCTTCTTTCTCCAGAGTGTTCTTGAAGGCCACTTGGGCTAAGGACAAAGGAGGACTCCATAAAAGGTGTGGTATTAGAGTCAGGAGGGAGTAAATGATGCTAGCCAAGTGATCCAAGCCCACTTCCTCTTCCAAGACAATAGAAAGAAAAGCGCAGGTTCAAGTGGAAACAGCCACGTGTTGAGATCAAAGCTGTTTGTACCTAAGGTACATAGGACAAGGCCACTGCCTCTTATGAGTTTGGCAGGGCCCCATGAGAATTGTGAGGGCCCCATTTGCTTAAGAGAACAGTTTTCTCCCTTGTTTCCCATGAAGCCACTAAGGCATACTGAGTATTCAGCTAATAGATTAGGTATTCTTCCTGCCCTTAAACTCTCTACGAACTTATTCATATACTAAAGGTATAAATAAACATGCTGCAGGTTCACTTTCTCCCATCAGGAGAGAGGGCTCCACCTGACCCCAGCTTTTATATATTGATTCCTGTCTTTCCTCACCTCTGCTGTCCTCCTTTCAAAGTTTTAAGAGCTGTGCTAGAATGCAGCAGCCAAAGAGGTTCTAAAATGCCCAGTTCAGGTCATCCCTATAGGGGTGACCTCACAGCCTACTGGTATGTGTCAAAGACATCCACTGAATCACAACTGAAAAAACCAACGAGAAACCTAAATGACTACCCAAAAGTGTCTGGGTAAATGAATTCCCTCTGCTCACTGACAAATTTAATTACCCAGCTATTCAAGGAAGCTCAACAGAGCTACAGATATGAATGTAGAAAGACTATAAATGAACACAGGCCATAGCACAATATATAGGATGAAGAGGTTTTACATTACAAAGGTGTGAAAATATGAATAATATCTCTATAGGAAAGGTTATATAGAAAATGATCAGTAATTTTTTTCAGAACAATGAACCAGAGCTTATAGATAGGGAAGCTCACATTTCACTTCATACTTCTCGGAGCCATTTGATTTTACCACATACATGATTGTGCATACACATACACACACACACACACACACACACACACACACAATTTTATCCAATGCTGGGGATCCAACTCAGGGCCTTGAACATGCTCTACATTCTACAGTGGAGCTACATCCCCCATTTCCTTAGTATACATTTTAAAAATAATTTAACAAAAAAAGGTACCAATTCAATGCAGCATAATTCACAAATGTGCCATCTGGGGCTGGAGATACGGCTCTGTGGCAGGGCACTTGTGCTGCATGTACAAGGCCCCAGGGCACGGCCCCAACACAAAGAAGTGTCATCTTCCACTTGCCTCTAACCCTTTATTTAGCTTTTTATTTCATCCTCTCTTTGATGAAAAGGCCAAAATTTACACATAAATTATGAAACAGCATTGCTGTAAAATCGCTTTGGAAAAATGAATAGGTATACACATGAAAATGTACAAGCACGTTGACACCATTGCCCAAGATATCCAGAGTGGCGTGAGGCACAACCTAGATACTGTGATAGGTAATGAGAAAGACAAGCTTTTCAGAGGGATCCAATCAATTTTCTTTTTTTTTTTTTTTTCGATCAATTTTCTTTCTTGAATTCCCAAATCCACCCACTTCTCTCTGCCTGCTGCTTAAAACCTGGTCCAAGGAAATACCACTTCTCACTGGTAACAGCTTCCTCACTGATGAATCATATCCACTCAGTCCCTTCATTTATGTGTTCTGTATTCAAAGTCAAATATAGCAGCGAAAGCACTGTGTCTGTTTACATGACCCTAACGCAAAAGAAATGCAACTCTCCCAGCGCCTCGGTGTGTAGTGCTGCTAGCTCAGATGGTTTGAAATCCTCCAACTCGGAGTGTAGCTCTTCTGAAAGCCTTGACTTTCCTCCAGGCAGGGTGCATGCACCTTCTGCCTCTCCTGCTTCCTCTTCAAAGGAAGAGAAAACGCTCAATAATTCCTTGAAAATGAAAATCTTTTCCAAAAACGTCTCTAAATGTGTCACACCAGATGGCAGGACCATATGTGTAGGGGACATTGTTTGGGCCAAGATCTATGGCTTCCCTTGGTGGCCAGCCCGTATCCTCACCGTAACAGTGAGCCAGAAAGATAACAGGCTTTTGGTCCGGCAGGAGGCCCGTATTTCATGGTTTGGGTCCCCAACCACTTCTTTCCTTGCTCTTTCGCAACTCTCCCCCTTTTTAGAAAACTTCCAGTCACGCTTTAATAAGAAGAGAAAGGGTCTGTATTATAAGGCTGTCACTGAGGCCACCAAGGCAGCCAAGCAGCTGACTCCTGAAGTGTGGGCTCTGTTGACACAGTTTGAAACCTGAACAACGACAGTGAGGTAGGCGGGACCCGCTGGAAGGCACCATAATTCTCTAGACTAGTTAGGAAGAATTTCCACAAAATCACTTAGCCAAATTGGACAGCAAAATTGCACTCAGTTGGCTGGCTTTTTATACTTACTTACCTTATAGCCATTTTTACACTGAGGCGCTTAAAGCTTAAAACTGAACAGGCCAGGCAGCCACTCAAATTTGCCTTAAGGAAGGGAGATTTTAGTAGTATTTTCCAACTTTGAAATCTGAAACCATCCCCAGGCATAGAAGCCATAGTCTCAAACTGAATTTTTTTTTTTAATTTTATTTATTTGTGTGTGTGTGTGTGTGTGTGTGTGTGTGTCCAACTCAGCCCACCAGGGGGCGGGGCTGGCTGGCATGTGGTGCTGGGGGATTGAACCATGATCCCTGTGCTTTGCTAAGCTTGTTCTAAGAAGGTGCTTTAGACCACTGAGCCATCTCACCAGCCCCTCAAAATGAATTTTTGCAGGGACTATTAATTACCATTTGTACCTATTACTGTACACACACACACACACACACACACACAATACTGTCTGTCACTATGTGATACAGGTTGCATATTTGAAGTTTTAGTAATGGATGATGAGTGGGGGAGAGAACATTTAATGACTACTTGTTTTTTAAATTAATGAACACTTAGTCTTTCTGTGTGTCTAATGGTATACAAATTTGGCACCTGGGTGTTGGACAAACTGAGATACTTGCTGTCTGGTTGGTCATGGAGCTGGGGAGGTGGTCTTGTGCTTGGGCTTCCAGCTGTTAGAGCCGTTAGGTCAGGTGTGAGCCAGCACTCTTTTGTCCAGTAGAGCTATAACTAACTTTCAAGCTTCTAGTTTGGGAGTTTAGTTAGGTTTCATTTTGGATATGTAAATAGTTGTTAACTAAATTTGGTCAGACTTCTCCTGACTGGCTGTTCCTAAATTCTTAGGATACGTCCTAGTAAATTACACTTTGTGAATTAATTGTCATAAGTGTAATTGTTGCATTTTGGATGTACCTAATTTGATAATTTTTTCAAAAGTATTTCCATTTAAGGTATCTGCAGATCAGAAAATGAGAAATGTAATTGTGTAATGCTCTGAAATGGTTAAAAAAAAAAAGCTGTAAATAAAATCGACTAAATCCAAAAACAAAAACAAAACAAAACAAAACAAAACAAAAAGTCAATATAAACTAGTCATTACCACTAAAACCCCTGATGGGTCTCCATCACGTTGGGGAAAAAAAAAAAATCAATACTTCTCCCTGCTCCTGCAGGTCTTCTAAGCTGTTCTCCAACCCTTCACAGACTTCTTTATTTAGTCTCTTCTGGAACCACACCGCTACCACCCCCTGCTTTGGTTTTGGTGACACTGGTCTTCCCTCCATCCTGCCTCCCTTGCCCTGTTCCTTCAGCACAGGGTCTTGGCAAGTTTCCTCTGCCTGAAAGGTTATGGAGTACAGTATTTGGGCAACTGGGGATTCAGACACGCAGAGCCGCTGCCGCCAGGCAGGGGCCCACACATACCTTCCTTCTTTCTCTTCTTGAAACTGAGGGGTTTTTTCATCTCCTCGCGGCTCTTCATGATCTCTCGGAGCCGGAAAGGGATTTCTTGTTCATCCTGGTTCTTAGGTTTGCAATTCACTTTCTTCTTTTCTTTGCTGGGAAGGAAAACTCAGGGGGTGAGACCGGTTTGAAGTAAAACGCGGCCCATCAGGAAAGAGGAACAGCGGGGCCACGGACGGTAGGGAGAAGGCCCGCTCCTCTCACGCCGTCCCTTGAACTGCTTTCTGCAAGCATGCTATGGCAAAAAGTGCTCCGAAAATCCGCGGAGCCTGGGACCGCTGGACTCCTACTGGGGACATAGCACAGGCAAAACCAGATTCATTCACGTCTCCACATATTCAACGGATCTTCACAGAGAGCTGGCCAAGGCACCATCGAGGAGGCTGTGTGCCTACTCTGAAAGTGTGCTGGAAAGCTCGCTGACAAATTCACTCCTCCAGGGTCGCTACCCACCTGCACGGCCCCGGCCGCGGGGCCGAGCATTTTTGCTGCCCTAGCGGCTGCTGCTGCCGCCGCCGCCGCCCCGGGTTCCCAGATCCCTTCGACCGCGATGGGGCCACCGCTCGCTGTCCAGCACCTCCCATCCTCACACTAGTTACTCAGAGAGTGAAGCCATTTCCGTCCTCCCAAGCGGCCCGCGAACGAACACTACTTCCGCTTCCTGCGTCCAGCCCCACGCTCATTGGATTGGTGCGGCTTCCCCTCAGGCTGCGATTGGACAGGCCCGCCGCCACTCACAGCTTGCAGCAGCTATGCTACCGCTCGGCGCCGCCCGGGGCTCCAGGGCTGTGGGCGCTGCTTTACGGAGCTCGGCAAGTATTGGCGTGTTGGGTATGGGAGGTTGGGGATGTGGAGTCCGTAGCCACCCTAGGTGTGGGAAGGCCACCTAGCCCCTGAGCCCACGCGTTTAGGACATCTACTCAGCGCCTCCTGTTTGCAAGGCCTCCAGACCCTGAGACTGGGCTGCACCGAGCCGCTGTAAGCCCCGGGAGTTTGTCAATGAGGACTCTGTAGGAAGGCAGAGGTCAGATAGCTGGGACAAATTCGAGGGCGGGGAAGACCCGAGGTTGCTGGGTTTAGAGACTGAAGCTCGAAAGCCTTGAGCTTTTTATGTCACAGAGAAGTAGGGTAAAGGTGATGCGAATGTCAGAAAGATGCATCAGAGGAACGAAGGGCTTACCCGCACTGGTTAGACTGGAAGAGGTAGCCCTGAGGCCAGGGGCCCAGGATTACTCTTCTACTGTGCCCCCATCTGCTGAATGTGCCCTGAATTTGTGACCCAGATTTTAGCACTTTTCTTAAGTCATGCCATGTCTTCCTCATCTTGATTTTATTTTACAGATGGGCAAACAGTCTAGAGAGGTGAGCTAACTAACTGGTCAAAAGTCTTGTGGGAGTGGGAAAGCTGAGGACATAGAGTCACTTGTCCTTCAGCAACAGGAAGACTGAAAGATCCCTAGAATCAGGGACAGGACATGCCTTTCTGTCTTCTCTAAAAATCGTGTTTACTGCATTCTCAGGGGACCCCTGGGCTCTTCAGTTGGAGCTGCTGCCCTAGCCTTCCTCGTGGAGGCAGTGTTCCCCACAGGAACCATGGCACAGTGGGAGCTGGCGGTAGCCCAAGAGACTCAGGCATGGACCACGTGGAGAGGGGCTCTCAAGCAGGTGCAGACCACACCGGGCAGCCCAAGACCTCCCTGTCCAGCGGGGGCCCCTCAGAACCCTTTGACCCTCTGCCACCTGAGCTCCAGCCCCCCACAAACTGCTGCATGAGTGGCTGCCCCAACTGCGTGTGGGTGGAGTATGCAGAAGCACTGCTGCGGCGCTACCAAGATGGGGGGGAGCGAGCCCTGGCTGCGCTGGAGGAGCATGTAGCTGATGAGAACCTCAAGGCCTTCCTCAGGATGGAGATCCGGCTCCATGCACGTGGGAACTGAGCCAGCCTGCCTGAGACGCCCTCACTCTGGACAGAGACACCAACCTGGCAGCTCCTGTTCAGGAAGCAGCAGCAATGGCCACTTTTGGTCACAACCAATTTTTTTTTTTTTTTTTTTTCCCAGAACCGGGGATTGAACTCAGGCCCTTGCACTTGCCAGGGAAGCACTTATTCCACTGAGCCATCTCCCCAGCCCCACAACCGATTGTTTATGGATTTTTTCTGCAAATAAATTAATTCTTCATGGTGGTTAACTAGAAGATGTTTATATTGTCCATAAGGCCTATGTGCTTTATCAAAGAAAATGGGTACCAGTTGGTACTATACATCTGCCAAGCAGCTGCAGCCCTCACCAGCCTGTGAGGGAAAAATAAGACCCTCTTAATTATGTCTAAATGGCGCCTGCCAGGTCCCAGCATCCTGCATGTCCTACTAAAGGCCAGCTCTGCCTATAATTTGTATGTACCTGGGAGAGGGCCACCTGGCTACCTGCAGGAAAGCCCTTGACAAGCATTCTAGGAAGGACCCCATCCATCCAGCTACCCTCAGTCCCTGCTGGGGTCCTATAAAGACCCCCTTCTTACCAGCTAGTGTGGTCAGCTCATAGAAGCCTGGATAGTGCTCAGACCCGTTCTTCCAAAATAACTGGTTGAGACTCCCAAAACAGTTGACCATGGAAGGACCAGGAGTTCAGGGACACCAACCCCAGAATCAGTTGTTAAGAACAAGCCTGGTTCTGAGCTGTAGTCCTGGCCACCATGACCTAAGGCAAGAATTTTATCTTAGTGTCCTCAGTGTCCCTCATCTCCCCCATTTCATGGAAACTTTCCTGTCACAACCTCTTTCCAAATATTTCCAGGCTGTGATTGCAAACAGTCTATTCAAGGCTGACATTAAGCATATGTATACCTATTTTGTCTCTTCATTTAAGAGAAAAGCTAAGATTATAAAATGATTTCATGAGGGATTTTAGCTGATATACATGGGGCATAGTATACTCTTAGGTCAGACTGGTGTCTTGGAAGGTTGATATACTTGGTCTAGAAATGCTCAGCCCCAGATGGGTCCTAGAAAGTATGAAAATGATGACTATATGTTAGACCTAGACCTCTCATTCTTTTCTTTTCTTTCTTTTTTTTTTCTTTTCTTTTTCTTTTTGGCAGAACTGGGGATTGAACTCAGTTCCCTACACTTGCCAAACAAGCGCTTATTCTACTAAACTATTTCCCCATCTCTCTCTACTCTGTCTCTCTGTCAGTCTCTGTGTCTGTCTGTCTGTGTCTTGTCTGTCTCTCTCTCTCTCTCTCTCTCTCTCTCTCTCTCTCTCTCTCTCTCTCTCGTTTGTACCAGGAATATGCCTGTCAGGAGCTGTGCCAGCACCTCCCTGTCTCAGTTACTTACCAAGTGTCCTTCCTTTAGGCTCCTGACTGTACTTCAGCCCTCTGCCTGCCCCCAGAATCCTGTGGGCCCCCCAACAATCCCATTAGTGTAGCCTCAAGAGAGGAGTCCTAATCCTCTCACTGTCAGCAGGATAAATGCCAGCACCAGTGCCCTGTTGAGCCACATCCAACTACTGGCACCTGTGGCCCCAAGATCCATCCGGCACTGGGTGAGTAGTAACCCTATCTCCTGCCTTTCCTGGCAACCAGGCATCTGTCCATCTATCCAGGGTAGGGGGAGCCCACAGTTCTTCACCACCTCAGCTAAGCTCTGGGCTCTTCAGAAGTCCACTCCCACTGCCATCCTTTAGAGGGAACACTGCCGACCACCTCCTTTACCCCGGTATCAGATAGTGTCCCACTGTCCACAAGGACAGCGATGTGATGGTCTGGGACCCTCAGGCCACATAAGATCAGTTGGCTAAGCGGCACCAATCCCAGGATTCCCAAGCGATCTCCACTAGGACACCAGCTGCCCACCATGAACCTATGACCTGGAGAGGAGGTCTGCCTCGGCCTATGCTGTCAGGAAGCAAGGGGCTAGGAGTCATTGGGCTGAGCAGCCAGGACCACCAGGCTCCTGAGCCTGGGTTCCTCCAAACCCGGTGCCAGGTCCAAGGACACAGGTTATACCAGGTGACAGAGAGGCCACCTGCCTTCATCACCTCATCAGTCTTAGTCCCAGTGCTCCAATAAATAGCTGGTAGTGGCCCAAAGCTGGAGTCATTTAGGAGAGGTGATCCTAAAAGGAGTCCCCAGGGGGATCTAAGGCCAGGAACAGTCTCTGCCCATGTAACGTGTGCAGCCTCAGAATATTCTGGCAACATGTGCAGAACATTCTGTGTAGTCCCTGGGAGATTAGGAGTCTCTTTCTACTCTAATAGGTTTAGAGGAAGCTAAGCTGCCCTTTGCCAAGGTCACTGGGGCTCAGGGCATCTGGATGAGGCTATGGGGAGGGGGGAGGTCACCCTGGGTGGCACCTGCAAGGACAATGCCTTGTGCAGAACTGCCTCACCAGAGCCAGGAAGTGACAGTAACTCAAAGCAGGCCCCAAACACAGCGTCAGAGGGAGGACACTGGGAGCCCAAAAGACTACCAACTTCCCTCATGTCTCTGTACCTCTGCTTGACTCTGTGAAGTGGGGCCAGGAAGGTGAGCCTTACACAGCTCAGTAGGTAGCTGGTCCTGAGACAGGGGCCCTTCCCTTAGGATGCCCTGCACTCCCCTTGTGCAGGCTATTATCCATCATCATTACTTTGTCCCACCCAGAAAGATAGGCAACAAACAATAATCCCATAAATATGAGAAGAGAGTCACACAATCATACTAATAAACTAGAAGTTTGGGCTAATTTGTGATATGAATAAATAAATGAGGACCTGGGGACAGAGTGATCATGGGGGATGGAGCAGAGAGGGGTGTTCAAGAGCGCAAAGCCTGGGCCAGGCATATAGTTCACTGGCATAGTGCCTGACTGACAAGCGCAAGGTTCTGAGTTCAATTCCTGATACAAAAAAGAAAAAAAAA